GGAAAGAGAGAGTAAGGGCCCATTCGGTTCGCTAATTCGAGTTGAGATGTGATGTTGTGTGAGAGCTTTTTACTGTAGCAAAAAAGTTAGATGTGACTGTTTCTGAAAGCTTTTAACTGTAACAAAACTTGAATTCTAAACTTAAATCAGCGAAATGAACGGGGCCTAAACAACTCTCATGTGAATAATATTGATAATTAGTCCATACAAAAGAAAAATGATAATACTAAAAAAAATAGAATTTAGTTTTAATAAAAAATATATATTGTTAATTAATTAGTCACTGATAATAACATAATAGTATTATTAGGAGGTGACTACAGTATCGTAACTTCCATAGATGATATTGATAAGATCAATCATTTGAACCGTCCGATTGAAAATGTGTGGTTTTAGATTGCATTTTCACGGAAACAAATGTAAAATAGCTCACATTGGAAAGTGGAAAGAACCTTCCTCAAGTACTAAAAAATAACGAAAATACTAAAAAGAAAGAAATAAACTCTGAGCCAGTTTAGTATTATTGTGCTGTTGAAAATTTATACTGTTGTTGTGTTGTCAGTCAGAAATTACTGTGACTAAAAATATGTAGGTGTTTAATATTTTTTTTAAAAAATTACTGTTAATACCAAAAGCAGAAATTTAAGCGTTTAGTAAGCTATGTATAAAATTGTTGTGAAGATATTTATTAAAGATGTTTAATTTTCAAATAAACATTTAAAATAAAATATATTATTGAATTTGATTTGGAAGAAATAAAATGAGTTGATTGGGAATTATTTTATTATTAGGGTCATTTTAGTAAATTTAGACAATGACAGCAAAATCTGATGTGGAAAAACAACTCCTGACTAGCTTCTCAAATTCTGTTGTGGGGCAATAATTTTTAGAAGTTGCTGGACAAAAGGCCCCGTTCTTTTTGCTGATTCGAGTTTTGCTATAGTAAAAAGCTTTCAGAAACAGTCACATCTAACTTTTTTACTACAGTAAAAAGCTCTCATACAACATCATATCTCAATTCGAATTAGCGAACTGAACGAGTCCTTATCAAACACGTTGACATGATGTAGCTTCTTTAAAAAAGCTAAAAACAGCCTCCAAAAGCAATATTGCCAAACGGACCTTCGGCTAATCTCCATCATTGCCACCTTTTTGACTACGTAGCTTGCGACGAAACCACCTTTCCCAGACCCATGACGATGAGAATCATCCCTCTAGGCGGCATGAACCCACCTTCCTCCACCGACGACGCGACACGATTAATGACTCAATTTTGTTTTTAAAAGATAATGGGCTCGTTTGATTTTATGTGTTTAAATCAGTACTTCTTAATTTTAACGTTTAAAATTTAAATTTTTTATAAAAAAAAATACTATAACATAATTAAAATTATGAGTTTTAACACAGTAGAGGCCAATGTAAATACATTGCCATTAGTAATGTTAAAAGAAAAAACAGAGCATTTTCTATTTTATGGAGAAATGAAATCCCGCTACAAGGCACGCTCCAAATAAACTTCCAACAAGTGGCGCCACTAATATTCCCGCCACTCACTAAAACGCAATGCTCTCAAATTTTAAAAGCTTCCCTCTCACGCCTTCCTTCCAAATTTAAAAGAAAAAAGGTCTATATCACTTTACCAAAACAGCCCTCTATATCTCCAAAAATTACACACATTCTCTCACTGTGGTGGCTGTAATTGCTACCCATCTCCAGGGTTACATTCACGAGCCGCAAAACTGGTCACAAAGACAAAAGTTATCGAAATACCGAAAATACCCTTCCCCTGGTTCATTCTCACGCAAGCTTCCCAAAAACCAAAAAAGAAAAAAAAGAAAAAAAAGAAAAGTTCAAATCACGAGCTCCCTTCCAAGGTTATATTCATAAATTCCTTCATCGAAAATCCAAAACGACCCCGTTACATCCCTTTCAACACCAAATTCAACAGTGATCATTTTATAAAATACCCAAAATACCGTCAATACCGTCAATACCCTCTCCCGCTTCATTCTCGCGCAAGCTTCCCAAATCCCCCATTTTTTTTTTCAAATAACCCGCTCTCTCTCTCTCTCCCTCTCCCCCCAAATTCAATATTCAAAATCCTTCCTTCTTTCCTCTTCTTTCCCAAATTCATTCATTATATATATCCCCCACAAACTCTCACATCCTCCATAGCCAAAACCTTCTCACAAAACACACACACACACACACACACACATATACACCCATTTCAACAAAAACACAAATCTCCAAACCTCAGAAAAATGCCTGCCATTCCAGAAGAGCCCCTTCTCGCTCCGAACCCGGACCGGTTCTGTATGTTCCCAATCCAGTACCCGGAGATCTGGGAGATGTACAAGAAGGCGGAAGCCTCCTTCTGGACCGCCGAGGAGGTCGATCTCTCCCAGGACGTCCTCCAATTCGAAGCCCTAACCCCCGACGAGAAGCACTTCATCACCCACGTCCTCGCCTTCTTTGCCGCCTCCGACGGCATCGTCCTAGAGAATCTCGCAGGAAGGTTCATGAAAGAGGTCCAGGTCGCGGAGGCCCGCGCCTTCTATGGCTTCCAGATCGCCATCGAGAACATCCACTCCGAGATGTACAGCCTCCTTCTGGAGTCTTACATCAAGGATTCCGCTGAGAAGACCCGCCTCTTCCACGCAATCGACACCGTCCCTTGCATTGCCAAGAAGGCCCAGTGGGCCCTCCGCTGGATCGATGGTTCCGAGTCCTTTGCCGAGCGCATCATCGCCTTCGCTTGCGTCGAGGGGATCTTCTTCTCCGGAAGCTTCTGTGCCATTTTCTGGCTCAAGAAGCGGGGGTTAATGCCGGGACTCACCTTCTCCAACGAGCTGATCTCGCGAGACGAGGGCCTGCACTGCGATTTCGCCTGCCTTCTCTACTCCCTCCTGAGGAAGAAGCTGAGCGAGGAGCGAGTCAAGGCTATCGTCCGCAACGCGGTGGAGATCGAGAGGGAGTTTGTGTGCGACGCGCTGCCGTGTGCGTTGGTCGGGATGAACGGCGCGTTGATGAGCCAGTACATCGAGTTCGTCGCCGACCGGCTCTTGGGTGCGCTTGGGTGCGGGAAGGTGTACGGTGTTCAAAACCCGTTTGATTGGATGGAGCTGATCTCGTTGCAGGGGAAGACCAACTTCTTCGAGAAGAGGGTGGGTGAGTACCAGAAGGCCTCCGTCATGTCAAGCCTCAACGGAAACGGTGGGTCCCACGTCTTCAAGATGGATGAAGATTTCTGATTTTTCTTCTGTTTCTGTAATAACATTTGAGTCACTTTTCTAGATTTAATATTATTTTTCTCTTCTTTTATTTTTCATTCCCATATATTTGTTTTAATTTCTTGCTACTTGAGAAATTATATATGAAAAAAAAAAGATGTAGATTTCGCAGTTTTTAAGACTTATTGTTCGTTGTTGTTTGTTTTTTGTAATATAAGCAGCAGGTTTCTGGTTAAGCAAATAAGAATGATACAGTTAAATTTCTGGGTTTATTTGTTTTTTAAGATTTTGTCGCTTCAGTGTAGTATTCCTTTTTTTTTTTTTTTAAGTGGAATGGTTAAAAAGAGGCTATAAAAGTGTTAATATTGGGTATGATTTTAGGAGTAACATCGTTTCTATAATGCATTTGGAATTTTTCGAATGAAATCTGACAAGAAATGAGCAACTGGGCCAGAAACTGGCAAATGATTTGGATTGGAGCCTCTGGTTTCTGTTGAATTCAGAAATTTTAACGAGAAACGGACATTCACATGGTGTACGGCGAAAATAATAAAACAAGATAAAAAGGAGAAAAGGTGCACGCTGTCCTCGCCTACTCCTCGATAAACAAAAGGCCTTTATCACTTTGCGTTTCTTTTTCTCACCCTTTATTTTTTATTTGAAATTAAAAAAAGGAAAAAAAAAAAAAAACTGACACAAGATAAGACTGGGTCTTTCCACAAACACGACATATTCATGTTTTGTGAAAGACAGGAACAGAAGGGAAGAGGCAAGAATCATATTCATAGGACAGAGGAAGTTGGAAGTTGGTCAGAATGTTGCAGAACGACGGTATGCTGTCCAGAGAAGAGTTGCTCCATCTCTTCACTCGCTTCTCCTTCCTCGTCTCTCAGCCTGGTAGTACACTTCCATTTCTCACCTTTTTCTTGCTTTCAAATTCAGGTCTTTTCTTTTTTTTTTTTTATCATTTTTTTTATTTATTTTTAATTGCTTCTTTGGTTGAGGATCTAATTCTTTTACAGACGTGAAGAAGAGAATTTCAGATGCTGTTCAGGACCAACAGGTGAATTTCTCCGTTTCTCTTCTATTAGACTGTTAATTAAAAAAATAAAAAAAATTAACTTTTGGTTTAGATTTTGTTCTCTTTTATTTGAAATTAGCTGAGATAAAAGTTTTCAACTTGAGTCATTTCTTTATCAATGATGTTCTGGCTTAAGCCGGTATCACCATTTTTAGCTTTTTTTTTTTTTTTCAGTCATTAATATTTTATTCCGGTTTCTGTTATCCTCTGAACTCATTAAGCTAATGCGTGCCTTCTCAATGGTAAATGCAAAAATCTTTGCTCACTTCAAAATGATAAGTTAAACCCAGATTGGATATTTCTTATCCAACAATAGAAGTTACTCCAGGATGGTGTATTTATCCTTTTTTCTTTTTTTTGGCTACTGGCTACATAAACACTCTCACAATTGTTTGCTTACTTTGAAGTAATTTTTCCTGATTTGAAATCTAACATTGAAATATGCAGGAAGCTGTAGCTGTAACTACTGCTATCCAGGAAGAGATATTTTTAGAGATGGGAATTGGTAATCTTGTCCTACTTGCATCAATGTTAAACTCTGTTTCTACTTTTGTTCTTTGGCACAATGATCAAATCCAGTCTTCTAAAAATGATGGCATGTAGCAGTTGCACTTCATGTAGACCTGCAATGAGATGAACATTTCAAAATTGTGTGCGACGATTTATTGTTGATTAATTCAAGGTGTTCTGTTTGAGACATTATTGTGGAAAAATGACCAGTTTAAATCTGTGTTTACTGAAAATTATTAGCTAACGCTGTTACTATGATTAGATTGATAAGGCTTTCTGTTGGTGAAATGGATTTTTTTTGCTATAATACAGTTAGGATTTTATCATTGTAGAACCATTGAAAATTTTGAGCCTTCGTTATTGTAGATCCTAGTTTCGGCCTATCATGCCTGGGAAAGGTGAATATGGTTTATGAGACTGATCAGGAGTTGATGATTCAGTTTTATAAATTTGTTGCAAAGTAAGCTCTCTCTCTCTCTCTCTCTCTCTCTCTTTCTGCTTGGACAGCAACATCTAAATTTGCTGTCTGTTCTGAGCTACCGTAATCTATGACCTCTAAAGCAAACATTTGTGATATTATCCAAATTTTTGCAAAACTCATAGGGTCAAGTACGAAATTTTTATTTAGAGGAAAGTAGCCACCCTCCGAGACCTTCGGTCTTTTAGCTTAGGCGGTCAGCAATACTTTAGGTTTAGGATTACTAGGATTTAAGTTAATTAGACAAGAGGAAATGAGAGGTCATGATATATAGTATTTTGCTTGTAGTACTAAATCTATGGAAAACAGGGAAGAGATGGCGTGTGATGAAGGACAGCTTGGACCGGATGAATACGCTGAAAGAATGCACAGTCAAGAAAAACTACAAGAACAGGTGAAGTGTCAAAAGTTTTAGAAATTTATATTTTGATTAAAGGTTGATTCTAAAGCAGAGAGTGAAACTTTTCAGCAACTTGAGATGCTGAAGCATATGCGCAAGTTTGCCCTTGATGATCAATCTGCAATACTTGACAAGGTAACATTCACTTGATGGCCAAGAGCCTTACTGGAAGTATGTCTATCAGCAAGGATACGTTGCTATTATTTAGTGTGCTTTGTCTGATACAAATTTTATGTATTTTCACAAAGATTTCTCTCTTGACTTCTCCCCAGTTGCATCGGCAGTTGGAAAATGCCAACTTTGAGTTTGGGGTATCGGTTTTGTCGTCTGAGCAGATCCAGGAGATTGTACGAAGGAGAGTCTCACCTTTATACAAGCCAAGGTAGATACTAGATGGATTGAAATGTTTGGCATGTTCAATGATGCGATGTGGGTTTCAGATTGCATTACTTTTTGTGGCTGTCGATCGCATGGTTCATGTCTTTATATGGTGAAAATTTAAGCCTAATGGTAAATGAATTACTGTCTGTTAACTATATGTTTTTCTCCTCCTTTCAAATGAGGAAATGAGATAGAAGAGCTTGAACCGGAGAATTTGGGTGAAAACCAGATTCATTTAACTATTACACATTGTTTGGCACAACCAAATCCGATTACGTATTTACTGTGGATAAAAATGTTTCCATAAAGTAGACTAAATTTCCAAAACACACAGCAAATAGATTTTTATCATTTGACAAAAACTAAGGGCTTGTTCGTTTGCAACCAAATTCAGAAAAAGTTTAAACTCAACTTACAACTTTATTTAAATTCATGTTCTTTTGTAAAATTTGAGTTTGAACTTGAAATTTAACTTGAGTTTGAGGTTAAAATCTGAGTTCAAGTTTGCTTTTTAACTCAAGTTAATGAATAATATTTTTTCTATTATTAAAAACGTTATAACTTTTTTGTTTTAATTTCGATTAAGATGATTTTTTTATGCGTTCACAACGAAAAGATGAATACAATTTCACATATATACCCTATTAAAATTTTTCAGCATCATTGAGTTTTTATTAAAATACTATTTAAATACAAATTCAAGTTTTGACCCACCCTAACACAAACTTGTGCGTTTGGTAGAAGGATTCGTTTCCTGATTCGAATCATGATTCGTAGTTCGCTACAGTATTTTCTCTCATAAAAAATACACGTAAATCGAAAATGGTTCGAATCACATAGTTTGAATCTTCCAACCAAACGAACCCATCAAATCATAACTCAAATGTACACAATCAAATACAAACTCAAGTTACAACTTCAATTTAAGTTATAATTTAAATTTAATTTAACATCTACACTTAAGTTATCATAATTCAAAAATGCAACTGAACAAGTCCTAAATGATTAAGGACTACATCGCCCTTACTGTCAAGATCCACAGTAACTGTGTCCCCTTCTTTTATGTCACCTCTCAAGATCCTATCAGCCAAGCTATCTTCCAAGAGCCTTACAATGGCCCTTCTCATAGGTCTAGCTCCATAGCTTGGATGGTTTCCTTCTTTCACCAATTTCTTTTTAAAGTAATCTGTATAAGTAAGAAAAATTCTCTTCTTCGAGTCTTTGGCTAACTTCTTTCAGCATAATGTCCGCAACCTGTTCTAGCTCAACATCATCAAGCTGCTTAAACACCATCACTTCATCAATCCTCTTCAAGAACTCACGCCTGAAATTTCTTCGCAGTTCATTCGCAACTTCCCCCTTCACTTGATCAAAACTGAACTGTGCCTTTTCACCAATAACATTGTTGCCAAAATTTGATGTCAAAATGATAGTGGTATTTTTGAAATCTACAGTCCGACCTTTACCATTTGTGAGCCTGCCATTATCTAGAATCTGAAGCAGCACATCAAAGATGTCTTTGTGAGCCTTTTCAATCTCGTCAAAGAGGATAACCGAATGGGGCGTACAATGAACAGCTTCTGTGAGCTGTCCACCTTCATTGTAACTCATATAACGAGGGGGTGATCCAATAAGCCTCGAAACAGTATGTTTCTCCATGTACTCACTCATGTCAAGCCTGACGATGGCTTCTTTTGATCCAAAATATTCAACAGCAAACGCATTGGCCAATTTTGTTTGACCTACCCCGTTCGGGCCTGTGAATAGGAAGCTCGCTAATGGCCGGCTGGGGTCTCTTATCACCACCCTAGCACAACGAACGGCGCGGCTAATGGCCTCCACAGCTTCATTCTGTCCAATTATGCGATTGTGTAGAACTTTCTCCATAGCTAGTAGCTTTTGGTTTCAGACTGTGAGAGTTTATCTAATGGAATTCCCGTCCAGGATGAAATCACGTGTTGAATGTCTGATTTGGTTACAACAAGTTCCCCCCTAATTGCTACCTTTTCCTGTTGAATCCGAGCTCGGGAACCTGCTTCGTCAATCAAATCTATTGCCTTGTCAGGGAGAAAACGGTCCCTGAAAGCAAATGTCAAGAAAATCTTGGGCTTGTTCTTTTGAGTGAAAAACTAAAAAAAAGGCAACTCGAGTTACAATTTTATTCAGTTCATGTTCTTTTAAGTTTAAACTCGAGTTTAAACTCGAGTTTAGGACTAAAACTCGAGTTTAATTTTCTCTTCAACTCGAGTTTAGAAATTCGAACTCAAATTAATGAACAATATTTTTTCTATTCTTAAAAATGTTATAATTTTTTCGTTTTAATTCTGATTGAGATGATTTTTTTTCTATGCGTTGACAACGAAAAGACTAATCAAGTTAAACTCCAAAAGAACAAGCCCAACTTATTTCCTCAACCTAGTTAAAAACTGTTCTACCAAAATAACTATGGAGCAGAAGAAAATGTAAGAAAGGTGATCAAGGAAAACCAGTTAATCTGATGTACTGATTTGATAAACGAGCAGCAGCAACTAGCGCACATTCTTTGTACTGAACGCCACGGAAACTTTCATATCTTTTGCATGAACCTCTTAGTATTTCTTTTCAATGACATTTGTTTATGAAAAAATGAGACAAATACGCGAGTTTAGTTTTTTTATTATTTATTTTTAATTGATATCTTTTTAATTAAATAACTATATTAATTAAAATGGTATTAATAAAAAATAAGGGGTAAAAATAAAGATTTATATACTCTAAGAGTAAATTAGCAATTTTTCTTTTTAAGTGAAGTGATATAAATAATATGTTTTAGTATCTTGAGTGATATTTTTAGTTTTTTATTTAAATAATAAGTTTCCATAAAACCATAATAAATATAATTTCTCAATAAAAAAGAGAATTATGAGTGCATTGAGTCTTGATTTTTATACCTTACAATATCATTTTAACTGAATAATTATTTAATTAAAAGAATATAAATTAAAAGTAAGAGAAAAAAATTAAAGGGGTATTTGACTCTCCTTTTTCCGCAGTTAAAACGCATCTAAGGATCACTCAAGGAAAAGAGCCCGATTGGACTTCTTAGCCCAAACTAAAACTGCTCCAAACGACATGTCGTAGAAAAGCATGGCCCATTTCAGCAAAAACTATTACCGGAATCGGTGCCGTTGATCGCCAGCGGAATCTCGAAGTGCCAGAGCCTGCGAACCTCCTTCACCCTGTACTTCTGGCACAGAAACTACTCGGCAAACACCCTCTCCACCCGCCGATTCACGTCGTGCACGAACACGTGCGTCACGCCGGGGCTCGTCCTCGCACGTGCCATCACCGCCGCCATCCGCCCCGGAGCCTCCGGGAAGTACCCCCTCGGCCCGTCGATCATGATCAGGTCCCAGTCCCGCTGGTAGAAGTCCTCCGGCAGCTGCGTCAGCGCCAGCCTGCACAGGTCTCCCGGCTCAGCCGCGCCGCCGAGGGGAGACAGTCCGGCTCGCCTTTGTAGGAAGCCAAGAGGTCGTCGGCTTCGGAGAGTTGAGTGTGGTAGTCTACGGGGAATGCCTGTCAATTAATCAGAAATTTATTTAGGAGTTTTATCAATTAAAACATTTAGTCCAAAACATGATATACAAATTTTATATTACATATTAACAATTACATTGATTAATACTGTAACATACACCATACATTAATTAAGTTCATAATTCCCTTTGTAAAGTATATAATAAAACAAATGTTTTATATGTATCTTTCGAGTTTTAATTTATAAAAAGAAATTAGCGCGTGTGTGTGTGTTGTGCAAACTAAATATTTTTAAGCACAAATAATAGCTTTTGTATCTTATTTGACAACCTTTGATACTGATTAATTTTATTTTGAAAAGAAAAAAGAAACTAATAACTTTACAGAGAAATAGACTTATGTAAAAATGACAATATTATAAATATTACTCGTTAAAATTTTATAATAGGAATGAATAATATTTAAGCTAGAAAAATAAGGCAATTTATGAAATAAAAAATAATTATTTAAAATAACAAAAATTGACTAGCTTTAGAATTAAGGAGCGCAACAGGAGAAAATTCTATTAAAAAAAATATGTTATTTAAATTTAAGTTGTTTCTTTCTTTTCTTTTCTTTTCTTTTTTTTTAAGTTGGTAAAAATTAAGCAACAAAAAGTTAAAATACACAAAATTATCAAAAAAAGTAAAAATATATATAATTATTGATTTTGAAAATAAGTCATGAGTGAGTTATAATCCGTCCGCCATGGCTGTAAAACAGGAGCTCGTTGAAGGACGGCCTTGAGCCAGCCCGAGTCCTCCTCGAGGAAGAGGGTGTTGCCGCCGGGGTTGAGGGAGGTTCACATGAGCGAGTCCTTGCCGACGCCGCGCACACAAGGAAGTTGCATGGCGCTAGGGTTTTCAGAACGTCAAACGCCACGCGTATCTCCTCCTGCGTCTGCTGCCGGATGTCCCTCGTTGTCTTGTCTCGTAGTGGTGGATCGCCAGCATCTGCGTCGGTGTCGTCGCGTAGTCCGCCACTCTCGCCGCCAGTTTCGGGTCCCCCACAGATGCCGGACAGAGGAAGGTTCGGTTTAGTGAGATCGTTAGAAACGACGCGACGGCGGCAACGACGAGAAGAAGGACGAGGAGTAGGGGATGGAGGGTTTTGAGTTGGTCTGCCGCGAATAGTACTACTCTTCGTCATGTCGTCAACCTTCTTCTCTCTATCTAATAATTTTGTCATTCTAAAGATGCACAAATAGAGAAGTAGGAGAATAAGTTTTTGAGGTGATTTGGGGTTAATTATTAGTTAATTTGTTCCTGTTTTTTGGAGGGAATTTAGATCCAAGAGGAGTATTTGTAATTTAATATCAAGTCTTTGTGTTCCTACGTCCTTATCTAGAGGCTAGATTTAATATGGAGTCTTAGTTATTGCTTGTTTCGAATTGAAAAAAACATGTCGTGAAATGGGAACGATGAGGAATGGACTTAATTTAAGCACGACAAAAGATTGATTTATACTCTCTACTATATGATCATGATGCGTTGGTTTCCTCATGAAAAGGAATATTGGAAGCTGTTTTCGCTAGAGATGATTTTTTGTATGCTATATATAT